TCATTTTTCAGATGATTCGTTTCCTCAAATGGTGCTAAGCCGCAGAGCTTCCCGTATCAGCAGTGATGCCCGAGATCAGAACCAGACCAATGGCGCCCCGGCTAATGTCAACTCCAAGGCCCTGGCCAGGTCTCCACTCTGCCGGAAAGGGAGTAGTCGGGTGTGGAGAAAGAGCAGCTGCAGGCCGATCCCCGTTGCCGGTGTTGCACCAAGCCCGATTGGGCTGCAAAGAGCGTGCTTGATTGGAGAGGGAAAGGGTGTTATCAGAGGCTGCTGATTGGATGATAGTATCTCTATCTCTGGGATCTCGGGCGAGTGCACCACATTGAGCACTTGCTTTGATATCTCGCTTCTCCCTTAAGAAGTAGTGGCATGGGTCTAAGCACTCTAAAGTAGGTATTCTTGCATTGAAGCTGAGATGTGATTTTTTTTACGTCTCTTCAAAGTTCCTCATCTGCTGTCCTCGGTGGACGTGTATGTAGGTATGTGTGAGCTCATGCTGACTAACCCAGGAGGAATTGCCAGTACGTAATCTAAAGGAGGTTCCTCGCCCCCGGCCCAATCAGGCGCGGATGTCTTATCTTGGGAGGCAACATCAAAAGCTGCAGAGATGCGACGGCCCAGGAACAATCATATAATGGCAATTGTCATCATTGGGAAACGGCAGCGGCGCAGAGGCAATCTGTTACGTGTGGGAAACGTCGTTCCCGAGCTGATCGCATGGAGCGAGTCGGGATCTCGTTGGAATGTTGATGTTTCTGTTATCCAATCTTAACTGAACCGGAGGGAGGCAGAACGTCCGGTGGAAAGGTGTATGACTGCGAGGCATCCAGAGACACATGTATATACTACACCTGGAGTCAATCATCCTGGATTCTGAGAGATAGCTTTTCCTCTACTCGATTCGTATCATTAACATCCTATCTATTGTTCGTTCATAAGTCATAGATTGAAACGGTTTCATCCTCCGCGGAATGACAGAGCGGACTATCAAGCATTTGATACTGCTGCAGTCGCTCGCGAAGGCTCATTACTATTGTTGAAGATAAACACCAATACAGTCATATCATTACTTTGTTTGATCGTCATATCTTCCATTATTATTATTTTACAACAGCACAGAAAGATCTTGATTATTATCTATATCTCATCTTCATCATCGTTAGATCAATCAATTGTCGCGACTGCAGCCAACTGGTTCCAGCTCCGGTTCCGCTCTCTCCGCTCCCCCGGTCGATATCGCCTTTTACAGTTGACCACTACTATCTCCGGACTGCATTTTCTTCCACCTCGCATTGTGTCGAGTCTAGTCTATCTTCTTCTATCTAGACTCGTCTTTCACCTGTCTAGTGTCTACCGATAAGCTTCTCCTCCGCGGTTCGTACGTTGCTCTCAACCCCGTCGATTTGGGCTGCATCCCCAGTCATTGATTGGTTGGTGGACTGCATTGAAGCTATCCGTATCTACCGACAGATCACTCAACCTGACACAGCCCTCTCCTGGCCCTTGTGGAGGAGTAGTCTCTAGCTTCTTGCGGAGCATCATCCTGGCGTCTCCGGATATCCCGGTTTACGAGAGCAAATCCAATTGAATTAGCTGTCAGATTGTGTGGGAGGATAATCCCTGCACAAATATCTCTTATCTATCTACCTAGCTATCTGCTATCTCCATTTTCTATCTACGTCTTCCCTATCGGGATCGTCTCTTCTTTTCTCGTCTTTCCCCCCGACTGTGCCTGAGAATCTCTCCACAGTGAATGGCTGCCGTTATCACTCTCCAGTCGTCCACGACGGCTGGCCCTGCGGCTACGTCTGCAGCTCCCTTTCAACAGCCTCACCCCTCAGACCACCACCTTCTTCGAGCCCGTTCTCAACAACAGCAGGCTAGCTCGACTCCTGCGCCTATCTCGCCCTCCTCTGCCTCCATTGGATCATTGCCCCGTCTGCCAGCACCTGGTCGGGATGGGTCAAGTTGTGACGCCTGTTTGCGTAGAAAGAGCCGGTGCGCCATGAACGAGATGGTCAATAAATGCTACTCGTGCGACTTCCATCGCCAGGAGTGTACCTTCACTCTCAGTCGTCCAGGTACGGCGGACGCACAGTCCAAAAAGCGAAAACTAGAAGATCCCGTCCCCGAGGAAGTGGACACTACCAAGAGGTATGTATGACGATGATGTTTTCTTCCTCGTGGGGAATCTTACCCCATGCCGATTTCGGATGTCACCAAGTTATGCTTATGCATGTTTTGAGATAAACACTAATCTTTCTTGCTTTCTCCTCTTGACAGGCAACAACAGCAACACCCACAACCAACAGCTGGAGTCCTGTCGCCAGTTTCCAAAACAGATGTCTCTCGCTCACCGGTGAATGGTCACAACCTCCTGATCCCGTCGGGGTATTGGTCCCAGTCTGCCAAGTATATTGGCATGACCACTGAATTAGAGCCGGCCCTGCTCGAACATCTTCCCCTCGACCAGAACGACGAAGGAGTCGTTGCATCAGCCCGGGTACGTAAGATCGGTAACGACGGTACCTTTATGCGTGTCGTCGAACCGCCGTCCCAGGCGGACTCTCCGTCCGTCTCGCTCGATGCTATCGAGAGCCTGGTTGCTCCCTATGGATCCACCTTGGTGGAGAAGTACTTTGAGAGCATTCACCCAGTGTTTCCCATCCTGATGGAAGATGCCTTTCGTCAGTCGTATCGGACCAGACAAGGGCTTTCTCCGCTCTTGCTCTCCGCTGTCTATGTTTTGGCTTTGAAGTTTGTGGATATTGGCCCTGCCTCGCAGTCGGTGCGACGCCCGGATGCTGGCCGTCTCGAGAGCACCGCGCTCAAACTTCTCATCGAGTCCTTGCCCCATGCGACTATCTCGACGATCCAAGCCGGACTGCTTCTCATGGAAAAGTCCACCATCGCGACCCATGCGTTGAATGCGCAGCTGGTCACCGCCGGGTTCGAACTTGGGCTGCACCAGGACTGCAGTGGCTGGAACATGGAGACCTGGGAAAAGGGGCTGCGAAAACGACTGGCGTGGGCCCTGTATTTGCAGGACAAATGGTCGGCGCTAGTCCACGGGCGTCCGTCCCACATCTTCGCCTTCAATTGGACCGTCAAGGACTTGGTAGAACAGGATTTCACCGAGGCCTTCCACACGGACAACACGCAGCAGGACGATGCAGACGTCGGTCACGGTCCGCTCTTTTTCTGCCACATGGTGGCGCTGACCACCATCCTGTCCGACATCCTCGACCGATTTTACACTCTTCAAGCGATCGAGGAGTTCAAAGCGGCCGGCGGCAACCGGACGCGCATAATCCTGGAGCGGGCCAAACCGGCGCAGATCCGACTGAAGGAATGGTTTGCATCCCTGCCCCCGCAACTGAAGATGGACTCGAGCCTCGACCTCTTCGACACCGTCACCGAAGACACCGCCCGCAATGGGCCCCTCCACCTTTCCTACTTTGCGACCGAAATCACCCTCCACCGCTGCATCATCCGGTCCCTCTCCCCGGACACGGCCGACGCCTACCTCTCCCACATCTGCCGCTCTGCCGCGAAGACGCGCCTCATCTCCGCCATGGACTTTGTCAACCGGCTCCGCCAGCCCCACCTCCGCTCATTCTGGCCCGCCGCCTCCCGCACCAACTTCTCTCTTATCGGCTCCTTCGGCGTCCTCCTACGCATCACCGCACCCACCAAGGAGGAGGCCGAGTTCTACCGTCTCCGCCTCTGCGAGTACCGCTGGACGCTGAGCGTCAGCCGCAAGCACGCCGAGTTCCTCGATTTCGCCCTCGACAGCCTCGACAACGCCTCCAACCTCGACCGCCACGTCCCCGGCAAACCGGGCATTGACGAGCTGATGACCAGCGCCGACAAACCGACCATCAATAACTCCCATCTGCCCTCCGCTTCGCAGTTGGACGAGTCGATGCTTGAAATGGACCACACGCAGGACAGCACCCGCGGCGGCACCTCGTCTGTCGTCTCGGGACTGGCCTCTCCCGCTACCTCCGTCAGCGATGAAAGTATCCAGGAGGCGTCAGACCCTCCGTTGTAACTTTCTTCATATTCCTCTTGTACATATCACCTACATTACATCAACTTATGCCTAACGACCTTTCACCCCTTTCAACCTCTTCTACCAGGCGGCGGACTCAACCCAACCACCTGGCTTCCTCACTGGATCTGCATTTACGAATGATTCCCCGGATGGACGACTGGATGATTCAATAGCCCGGATCGATTATACTTGTTTGATGATGATTATTTTTTGTATGCTAGCTCATGATGAACCCGGATATAGACTGGATCGGCGATTGGGATAGATCACGAATTAATGGTATTACCTCACTATGCAGTATTTGTCCGAGTGGTCATATCATACACGTATGGTCGAGGATCCAGGCGCACGTACTCGTCTGGCAATCAATCATGAGTAGACTCAGGTAGTCTATGCAATGTCGGACATCTGATCAGAAAGGTAAACTCGGCTCGACCCGACTCAGCTGTGCAGCCCCTAGCAAATCCGACCTGGGTTGACCTTGCCGTCAGTTCCGATAGAAACTCAGCCCTAACGAGATGAAGCGGTGACCTCTTCAGCCCTACCATACTCCATACAGATGATCATATCAATCCAACAGGTCGTAAATGTGATATACTCCGCATTTCCCCGCTTGCTCCAACTTAGTCTCTGTTCCTGTTACCTACAACCGAGGATAGACGACAATTGATGTCTTGATTGGGTGATATCCGTGATCCGTCGGATAGGATCCGGGACGGATATACACGCCATGAGATGGCTGTTGATGACGGTGAGGAGAAGAGATGTTAGTCGTGAGCTTGTCAGCTACGGGGCTTGTGCCTGACTCTGTTTATATAGTCTATGCCTTCGAGGTGTTATCGGATGACGTCCTCTGCATACTGCACTGCGTAGTATTCTGGGATAGTATAAGACCGCCATTGCCCTTACATGTTTATCAGCTGATACAGATAAAAGCAAAATGACCTTGGACCAAGACAACATCCGCGCGCGCTTCTGCCATGCCCTCTCGGAAATGTACAAAGCCGAAGTCCCCCTGTACGGGGACCTCGTCGACCTCGTCTGGCAAGCCGACGCAGAAGCCCTCCAGTCCAGCCAGCAGCAGCAGCTCAGCAACACCACAATCAATCCAGACGAGATCCTCCCCGCCCGGAACCGCGTCGAACGACACGGCGCCATCCGCCTCGGCACCCCGCGCGAACTCTCCACCATCCGCCGCATGTTCGCCGTCATGGGCATGAGCCCCGTGGGGTACTACGATCTGAGCACCGCCGGGTTCCCCATGCACGCGACGGCGTTCCGGCCGCGCACGCGCGAGGCACTCGCCCGGCATCCGTTCCGGGTGTTCACGACCGTGCTGCGGATGGAGTTGGTGAGTGAGCGGACGAGGGCGCTGGCGGAGCGGGCGCTCGCGCGGCGGGAGATCTTCAGTCCGCGGCTACTGGAGCTACTCGATCTGGCGGAGAGAAAGGGGACGCTGAGCGGTGCGGAGTGCGACGAGTTCATCGCCGAGGGGCTAGGGGCTGGATACCTTCCGGTGGCATTCGCGCGCGACGGTCACGCTGGAGGAGTATCGGATCCTCAAGGGCGAGCATCCGCTCGTCGCGGATATCGTCTCCTTCCCCAGCTGCCACATCAACCATCTGACGCCGCGGACGATCGACATCGACCTCGTGCAGAGGATGATGCGCGAGCGCGGGATGCCAGCCAAGGAACGCATCGAGGGGCCGCCGCGCCGCGCGCATCCCATCCTGCTGCGTCAGGCGAGCTTCAAGGCGCTGGAGGAAACGGTGTATTTCCGTGACGCGCGGAATGAGTACGTGAGGGGCTCGCATACGGCGAGATTTGGCGAGGTCGAGCAGCGGGGGTATGCCCTCACGCGGAAGGGGCGCCAGCTGTACGATCAGATTCTTGCGCGGGTGAATCGCGAGGCGGGTGGCTCGGTGGTGTATGCGACGATCCTGAGGAAACACTTCGAGGAGTTTCCTGATGATCTGGCGCAGCTTCAGGCGCAGAAACTGGCTTTCTTCTGTTATTCGGTGACGCCACATGCGTCGAAGAGGGATTATCAGGGCGTAGAGTCCGTTTCGCTGGCGCAGTTGTTGAAGGACAATGTGCTAGATCGACTACGAGCCCATCACGTACGAGGATTTCCTGCCTTTATCCGCTGGGGGCATTTTCAATTCGAACTTGGCCAACACGTCACAGGCTAAGCAGCTGATAATGGAGGCTGATACTGATCTGGATGGATTTCAACGGATGCTGGGGGCTCCTGTGTTGGACGAGTTTTGTCTGTACGAGCAGATCCAGCAGGAGAGTTTGGAGACTTGTCGCCAGCAGTTGGGAGTTGGATCCATTGAAGGCGACAGTGACATTATTTCATTCCATTAGAGTAGGTCTTTGTTTTCGTCAATAAATGATCCTCAATGTTATATGGCATTAGCATGACTGTTAGACCGCTCATATCTGGCCATGGCAGCTTTTGAACATTAACTTGAGCTTGCCTCTGCCATTATTATTTGATCAATATGTTCAGATCCATTGTCAAACAAGCCTTATGTCTTATAAGCTCCACTGATGACAGGCCAGGGAGCTTATTGAGATATGCCAGCTGGAGGTCACTATTTCACAACGCAGTTTTTCATGCACACTTTAGGATTCTCTACCTCTGACTTGTAGGACAGAGAAAATCTGGCCAGAATGCATTCCTCAGGTGGGTTGATATGAAGGGACATACATACATTGTAGCTAACTGGCATGTTTCCAGAGATGAGGATACTATCTCGTCAATAGCAGTCCTATCCGCAGGAATAAGAGAGCGTTCTTTTCATTTTATAAAATAATCTAATCAGTGAAGCATGTTGTTTCCTCTGATGAGAGTGGGCGCTGTCATTCCAATGCTTATGTCTAATGTAGAAATCCAGGGAGAACTCCTCCGTGCCAGGTGCCTTGCTTGGAGAGTGCTAGAGGGCTATAGCACCTCATTGTACCTATATCTTTGTCAAAATATGCAGTACATGTCATCAGTTTAATCGGAAGTATTCTCCAAGCGAGGATGTAATGTATATCTATCTGACAACTCCACAATCACTCTACATTCTCCAGCCAGGTTGTCATTGTTCAGGTACATTTTTCGAGACAGACATTTCTGTGTCACAAAGACCAATTCTGCGCAACTCCTATCAGCATTTCCAGGAGGTGGTCATTTTTCCGTGCTGCATTGAACTAATGGGATATCATGCTCTAGGTGCAGCCAGGCTCTTTCTTTCTGACTTTTCAACCCTAAGACACTGCTCATCCAGCAACCATACTCAGCCCACCTGCACTTCATTGCACCAAGACGCGGGGGCATCCATCTATATTGCTCACAGTGGCAGGTTTATAGTATTCTGAATCTTAAACAAACAGTGTGGGTCGTCATCTACAGAACAATGCTCCCAGCCCTACTCAGTCATGGGTCACATTCTTCCTGAACAACATAAAACATAAATACTCCGTCCTTAAGCTTGAAGTCAATAGAGGACGCCTTCTAGCGACTCGGTACCGCAAAATGCGTGCCTTTTACCTGCTTCTCCCCAGCCTTGTGGCGGCAGCAGATCTACCCTCGAAGCCTAACCTGCTCTCCTATGGGCAAAAAGGCCCTCTGCTAGGAACTTTCTTTGGGACTCCAGGCGCCGACGCAACATTTGACTATGTGGTCGTCGGCGGTGGGAATGCCGGCCTGACCGTCGCCAGCAGACTCGCCCAGAGCCGATCATTGAGCGTCGCTGTCGTCGAGGCCGGAAGCTTCTACGAGATCGACAATGGGAACAAATCGGTCGTTCCTGGCTACGCGACGTACTTTGCGGGAACAGACCCAGAGGACTACCAGCCGCTGATCGACTGGGGATTCGTAACAACCCCCCAGCCTGGTGCAGGCTATCGCACCGAGCATTATACCCGCGGTAAGACGCTGGGAGGTAGCTCTGCTCGGAACTTCCTGCTCTATCATCGGCCCACGGCAGACAGCATGCAGAGATGGGCGGATGAGGTGGGCGACGAGAGCTATACGTTCGATAGGATGCTTCCGTACTTCAAGAAGTCGTGCCACTATACGCCCCCGGACCCGAGGCTGTCCGTCAATGCTACTATTACGCAGAATTCCGCCGCGTTTGCTCCTTCTGGCGGTCCTCTGCAAGTCTCTTTTGGCAATAGCGTTGATGCCTTTGGAACCTGGACCCAGCGGGCCTTCACTGCCGTCGGCTTGGAGGAGATCGATGGCCTGAACAGCGGCAGGCTGCTAGGCGCTGCATACGGCACCTCTACGATCAACCCCAAGAATGCACAGCGTTCCTCGTCCGAGTCGAGTTTTCTCCAGGACGCCATCGCCAAAGGCTCGCCTCCTACGCTCTACATCAATGCTATGGCGCAGAGAATCCTGTTTGACGAGGACAAGGTCGCAACAGGTGTCCAGGTCTCAACCGCAGGCACATTCGGCACGCCACCGGTCAACTACACTTTGAACGCTCGCAAGGAGGTCATCGTATCGGCCGGCGCCTTTCAGTCTCCGCAGCTGCTCATGGTCTCCGGCGTTGGAGCATGCAGCGAGATCGCACAATTCGGCATCGACTGCATCCACGACCTGCCCGGCGTAGGCCGAAACCTGCAAGACCAAGCCTTCTTCGGCTCCGCACATCGAGTCAACGTCCTTACAGCATCGGCATCGGCCAACGATCCAGCTCTGGCTGCGAAGCAGGTAGAGCAGTACCTCGCAAACGCCACCGGCCCGCTGTCCATCTTCGGCGCCGGATACTACGGCTTCGAGAAGCTGCCCGAACCGTACCGCTCGCAGCTCTCCAAGGCCTCCATCCGCGCGTTATCCAGCGTCCCGAGCGACTGGCCGGAGATCGAATGGCTGCCGCTGAATGCCTGGGTCGGCAACGGGTCCAACTTCATAACCGGCGATCCGCACGATGGCTACAACTACGCCACCATCGCTACGGCCCTCGTTGCGCCGTTCTCCCGCGGGACCGTGACGCTGGCAGATGCGAGCATGAATACGCCGCCTGTCATCGATCCGCAATGGCTTGTTGATCCCACGGATGTGGACCTGGCGGTTCAGTCCTTCAAGCGCCAGCGTCAGATCTGGGAGGTGCTCGTTAGAATGGGTGTTGCTGATGCGCATGAAGCGTACCCCGGAGAGCATGTTCAGACGGACTCGCAGATCCGCGAGTACCTGGCTAAAAGTGTGCTTCCTGTGTTTCATGTGGCTGGCAGCTGTAAGATGGGAAGAGAAGATGACCCGATGGCGGTCCTGGATAGTACTGCTCGGGTCTTTGGAGTGCAGAACCTGCGTGTTGTTGACGCCAGTAGTTTTCCGTTCTTACCGCCGGGACATCCGCAGGCGATGGTGTATGCTCTTGCGGAGAAGATTGCAGACGACATACTGGCTGGGAGATAGCCTTAGTTACATCACTATCCGTATCAAGGTCGATATTCTCGACCTGTCAGAGTAACCCTGTAGAAGACCAAAAAGAAATCAACATCATTTGCGATATAGAATACAATGCACGAGTCCATGTGCAGTCAGATCTATCTGTACATAGCATGCCCATCAGTGGATAGAGGCAAATAACAATAACCCCAGCATACCATATGCCAATCATAATTTTTCCCACTTCCAACGTCCCAAGGATGTTAAGCATTAGCCTCCAGCTTCGGCACATCCTCCCCCTCAACAACCACGGCCCCCTGTTCAAGTAGCTCCTCCGCCGTCTTGACGTTGACATCCATCACCCGCAAAAGCGTATACTTATGCTTGCTCTTGACCTTCCGCACATGCCGCTGTCTCCGCTTCGTCTTCTCCTTCACCCGCAACGGTTCCGCATCCACGCCCATAACCCTCACCCGGCACTCGAACAGCCGCTCATCGATATACGGCGCCCCCTTGAGCGTGAAGTCGCGCGAACCCAGCACAGACGCCCGGTTGAAGCGGAGGATGTCGCCCGGTTTCACGCCCCGCATGAGGAACGGCAGGCGGAGGTGGTCGCCTGCGGTCAAGAGGTAGGGTTTTGCGTGGAGGTGCGCGGTGATGTAGTGCGGTTTTTGAGATGTGAGGAAGGGGAGTTTCTCGAGGAGGGATTTGGTGAGGCGTAGGGGTGACGCTTGATCCTGTGAGGGTTGAGATTGAGTTTGTGCGATGGGCGTGGAGGATTGGGCCCGTGGTGTGGCGCTGAGTGGGCTCTCGGGGTGTGATGTGCTGCTGCTGCTGCTGCTTGTGTTCGTGGCTTGGTGAAGGCAGGCGCGGAAGCTGGGGCGCAGGAGTGCGTTGTGCTGCTGCTCCCAGGGTAGGGCGAAGGCTCTTGCGAGCGTTGTTCGGGAGAACATGGTGAAGCAGGTATTGGCGGTCTGCTTCAATTGAAGTCAATTGGGTATTGTAGCTGTCTGCGTTCCTCCCAAGCGAGGACGAGACGCAATGGACGCTTGATGCTGGGCTGGACTGGTTGTTGATGGGCGTCGGTGTCGGCACACTTGAGTCGAGAAATTCCAGCGAATGGCGGATGTGGCCGCCTCGCTTTCCGTAGCGGCACGTGATATTATCGACTCAACACAACTAAGGTACGGTATCAAGTTCATGCATCCGGTCGAATAGGTTGCTCTATTTGGAATCTCTTGCTCAGTCTTCGGATCAACAAGTCAATGACTTAATTAAGTCATTGTGTGAAGCGATTGTCGGCAGTCAGAGTCAACAAAATTTCAGCGCGATAAGAATATCACGTGACTTATCAATATCGAACCTGCATCACCCGCAGAACAACTTTTTTGTCTCAGTCTCGGCCAGGAGGAGCATCAACATCGCTTGTCAGTAACGTTCTGTCTGTTATACATCCATCATGGTATGTTACCCTGTTCACAATCCCTAGAATAATGCATCGACTGCTCCATGTAGCCACATGCAGGGTTCTCACGGGTGAAAAATTACTGAACCAGTACTAACTAACTGCTTCTGAATACAGCCTCAGAACGAGTTCGTCTACCCCTCTCGACTCAGCTGTGGTCAATACACAATCTAACAGAACCTTAGGTATATCGAGCGCTGGCAGAAGCAGCACGGTAAGCGGCTCGACCACGACGAGCGCGTCCGCAAGCGCCAGGCCCGTGAATCGCACAAACAGTCGCAGGATGCCCAGAACCTGCGCGGCCTGCGGGCCAAGCTATACCAGCAGAAGCGGCATGCCGAGAAGATCCAGATGCGCAAGCGCATCAAGGCACAGGAGGAGAAGAACGTCAAGTCCTCCGCCCCCGACGAGCCGTCCAAGACCCCTCTGCCCCAGTACCTGCTCGACCGTTCGCAGGCGACCAACGCCAAGGCCTTGTCCAGTGCTATCAAGGACAAGCGGGCTGAGAAGGCG